TACACCAGTACCGGTGCCATTTAGTTCTACTATATCGCACGGGGCCTATGCAAAAGTGACGCGGAAATTTAGCACCACAAAGCCCTGCCGTGTCAGAATCAAACGGCACGTTCCTGACAGAGACCAGGACATGGCGATGGTGGACGATCTGAACGGAAAAGTCTTTCTGATGAAACACAGACGGACACAAAGTTGGAGCGCCCGAGACAACGTTTAAACAAGTGAACCGGACTTTCCGTTGCGTCCAGGTTTCCCAGGTCTGTTATCTTCACTTGCATCCTTCATTTTCAATTACATTTCCAAGCTACCTCAGTCCTATAATGGAATAACCCTACAGCGAGGTTTACAAGGTAGGTTTTAAGGTCAGTGATTTCGCCAGAACGCGGGCCCAAATTTGAAAATCTGCCAACTTCGTTATCGGTCATCTTCTCGCTCATTCATCTTCCAGCATCAATGTACCCTAGCCTGGGTGCCATCCGATTTGTAACGGCTACCCCCAAAAAAAATTTTCGGGGTAGCCGTTACAAATCGGATGGCACCCAGGCTAAATGTACCTGCCATGGATTGACAGAAACTTTTAATAAGGGCGGCAAAGTAATTTAAAGAAATATTATAGATGAGGAAATCTACATAATATTGACTACTGCCATTTCTTAGCACATTTTCGTCATAGATTCTTTTATATATTAAAACGTTTGAAATAGTCTAGAAACAAGCTACGAGAGGGGTACTTTTTGATACCAGCAATAAATAGCTAGAACCAGCCAACGATGCGAAACAAGCAACTATTTTCCATCAGCGACATCGCATTTTTGCCTTACAGATATCAGTACATATCATGATGCTATGACACAGGGATGACTCAACTTGCTACATGATAAAAATAGGAAATTAAGCTTGGAAATCTCGTTTTGCTGCCCCGAAATCGCTTTTGGTGCCTTTTAAGGCGTCCAAATGCAATTTCAGGGCAGCAAAACTGGAATATTTTGAATAAGGCAATCGTTTTGATATTGACATATACTGCTTCACATAATTAGCACATCTGAGTCAGTATTTCATACTTTGGGCTTTTAAAACGGCAGAAACAAACCCCGAGATGAGTCCTTTATTTTCTGGGTGGTACCCTAAAAATCATCCCTTCCAGTAACCGTTTTCTGTTAGAATTTTGGGTAGTTTTGCTCCACGAGGGTTAATATAAATTCATTTTTAGGATAGTGTGGTTTCATCTCAGTATGTAGATAAATGACTAGAATATTGGCTTTGAAACATCAGGCTTCCAAGCCCTGAAAACTGCACTGGATGCCTTTAAATAGTCTCCACCAGACTTCTTTTGCGGGGTGAATAAATCGTAGAAATCGACCTAAAAAGGGTATTAATTGGCCAGAGAAGGTAGCCGGCCAGAGAAGCTCCAGCTCCCCGCCAAGAAG